TCTCATTCTGTAAATCATAGTGAAAACCATCCCACTTGGTTTAAGCAGTGGGGGAGGGTGTAAAAGGATAAGCATTATCCTTAGGAGTATGAATCCTAGGAGGACTCTGCATGGAGAAATAAAAGTCCTACTAGGATTGTGCCACTTGAAACCTATAAAAGCTCACAAGCACCACCTTGGAGGAGGTAATTGAACATAATTCTTTCTGAGAGCATAAAACTTTGTCTATTTGTCAAGCTTACTGACTTAGGCATCGGAGAGGTTTCCGGCACGCACCCGCCTGCTAGCTCACTTTTGTGTTTTCAGGTTATAAAGCGACGTCGTACGGAGGAGCGTGGACTTGGTCAACAGGATTATACGAGGAGAATTATTTCTTCCCCGTACATATATTATTTATAACTAGTATATCATGAATAATACCAAAATATATATATATATATATAGATATAAATCTTAAAATAAATTATGTAATGATAATTTTTTTTTATACAAAATTTGATTAAAAATTCAATATGATGGTAATATTACGTCATCATTAATATATGATATCACAAACTAATAGTGCATAAACATATAGAGAGTGAATCTTACATGTCAAATGTAACTAACAATTCAATAAATTTCATATCTTTATAATGAGATTGCTTATACTTGTATGTCAATAATAATGATATCACCGTTACATTCAAAAAATTTCTATAGTAGTCTCTTCATTTTCAATTAAAACAACCATTATTATTCTCAAAATTTTTAAAATGCCATTGACATTTCACTCTAATAATATTTTTGTAATTTTTTTATTTACAATATTTTCCTTATGTTTGCAAAAAAATAAAAATTAAAAAAAAAAATCAAAATCCAAGGGGGGCATGTGACCCCCCCTGGGCCTTTACTCCCTCCGCCACTGACTGTATGCATTGGAAGTGAAAGAATTGTCCTACTGCATGGAAAGGTATGTATTGTGGTCACATCCATGAACCAACTATTATTTTAGATGCGGTGGCTTTCCATGTTAGAACGTTCTTCTATATTTTCTTTCCTCGCTGAAGGGCGTACTCCCCAAGTTAATTACTCAATTAATGGAAATGACTATACAATGGGATATTATCTTGCTGATGGTATACATCCTCAATGGTCAACATTCGTTAAAACAATCCCATCTCCACGAGGCAATAAGCAAATACATTTTGCTAAAACTGAAGAGTCAACAAGGACGGATGTCGAACAAGCATTTAAAGTGCTTCAAGCACGTTTTGCAATTGTGTGAGGACCTGCAAGTTTTTGGAAAGTTGAAACCCTTAAAGTTATTATGAAGGTATGTATAATATTGCATAACATGATTGCTAAGGATTAGCGAAATGAACAAAATATAGATTGTAATTATGATGCAATCGATGAAAATCTCCCTCCAGCAGTATTGCATGAGCGCACACCCGAACTTTATGAATTCATTCAAATCATCTTCGCATCAGAGATAGACAAACTCATTCTAAACTCTAAGCAGACCTAGTTGAGCATTTGTGGCATCTACATGGAGATTTGTAATAACATGAATTAGAAATAGTTTATTTATTTTGATGTTTATTCCTAACTTTGCTATTTATGATTTTTTTTTCTTATTTTATTCATTGACCTTTTTAAGGTTTTTGATTAGTTAATTTGCGTTATTTCAGTTCTTAATTTGATAAATTGCAATTATTGAATAACTTCCTTTGTATTGTTATTTTTTTAAAAAAATTCTTCATTGTTTTCTTTTATTCTTCCCCTCCCTTCCCCTTCAAGATGGTTCCACAAATTCATATGTTGGTATATATTCACATACTATACATTTTATAAAAAAAAAAATTAAATATTAGTTAAAAATTATTTTTTATAATATTTTTAAAACTCGCAAATGTCACATTGACAACCATATTAGCATTTGGTGCGTATGTGGCATTCTATGAAAAATATAGTAATATATATAACATTTTTTTATTTTAAAAATTGGTTAAGCTAGTCTGAATGACTAGTTAAAATCACTACAAGAAATAACACATTTGCCGACCAAAAAATTGGTCACTAAAAGTCCATTTTTGGTCGGCAAAAGTTATCCGCGACCAATTTTTTTGGTCGCTACTTTGGTCGCCAATTGAGGGTCAGCAAAAGTAATTCGCGACCAAAATTTTGGTTGGTTGGTCGGGAAATATCGGATTTGCCGACTAAATTTTTGGTCGCTAAATATATTATTACCGCGACGAATTCATTTAGTCGCTAAAACATTTTGGTCGCGAAAAGTGATATTTTCCCGACCAAATATCTTAGTCGCCAATTGACACATTTCGCGACCAAAAAGTTTGGTCGCCAATTATCACATTCCACGACCAAAAATTTTGGTCGCCAATTGTGACATTTCGCGACCAAAAAATTTTGGTCGCCAAAAGTCAAGGAATCGCCGACTAACAATTTAGTCGCCAAAAGGTAAGGAATTGCCGACCAATGATTTTAGTTGCCAAATCTCTATTTTTTTTTCCAGAACATTCAATTTTTGTTTTTAAACATTCAATCCAATATCAAACAAAATTCATTCAACCCAACCACAATTAAGGAACAATAACATTTAAAAAATTAAAAATTGCTCACAGTTTCGGTACCACAATTAAGGAACAAAATTCATTCAACACAGCCAAAGAATTTAACTAAGAAGAAAACTTGAGAATTTAACATATATACAAGAGCAATAGTACGTACAATCTGTGTTTTGGCAAAAACAATCACTAAAAATTCAATCTCAAACTACACTTTGCTCTCACCAAAAATTAAAAGAACAAAAAAATCAAAGAAAATAACAAGGTATGAGGCTATTACAATCTGCTACATTCCAAGGGGGCAACAGTGGAGCCAGACCAGCTTCCAACTTCCAACAGAGCAGATAGATCATTCCAATAGAGCAACATTGGAGCCAGATTACCTTCACAGACAAAACAGACCAGCTGCCTACCTCAGCGAGACTACCAATCTGCAAAGCCCAGCTTCCACCTCCAAATATTGGCGACAGATTTACCTGCATCTCAGTCCTAATGCCAAGAATAGCCTAAACATATCTGAGCAATTATTACAACACAGCAGAAACCAAGACTGTATTTGAACATATCAGAAATCAGCAGCATAGCAACTCTGTTCAATAGGCAGCAGAGCAGACCTATGCAAACCATGGCTTCAGGGCACCAGATCAACCCAGAATCAACCTCCCTTTTCAGCTCAGATCAATCAGCATAGCAGATCTGCTCAACAGCCTCAGCATACCAGCAAAGACCTCAGGGCACCAGTTCAGCCCAGAAACAGCCCAAAATCTGGTCCAATAATCACAAGAACTTCTATAATACAGCATAATTTGCAAGACACCTATGCAATGTTCATAACTAGTTAATAGTCACATTTATGGAAAGTCCCCAACACATCATTTCATACATTACTTTAATAATCTTGCCAACAACCCTTAGCAACGAATAAATAAAAATCAAAGAGCATAATAAAGCACATGCATTTCAAACAGAAGCATGTGTTCACAAAAATACCTAGTATGGATCACAATTGTCCAAATCTGAGCCTATAAAACCAACAAATGACTAATTATCGGCATCCCTAAGGAAAATGTAGATTCCAAAAGAAATGACCACCAATTCAATTTTTAAATAACTCCATTACAGATCCAGGCAAGACAGAAGAGCCAAGACACTTCAAACAAGGACAATAATAGGCTCCACATCTCCCTTGACATACACAAATTCAAAAACATATGCTGTAAGCAATACTGTCCATGGTAAGTACCATCCTTTAAAAAGATATATGAAGAGAGTTGTTGAAAGGACCAAGAATACAATTCAATAGGTAATGACTCCCAAAAATATATATATTAGCGGTGGACAAAACTTAAGAAAGTCCATGGTCCTGCAAATCAAGTTTAAGAAATTAAATCACAAAACCCTACAGCCATCAATTGCAAGGAAGTTTTAGTCAGGAATTTTTTTTATCAGTTCATAATTAAGACGAAGAGCCAACAGGATTGACTAGTGCATGAGTTAAGAAGACCATTCCCAGTAGTGTTCCTATCTATTGAGCATTTTGCCATTGACATGATTATTAAGAAATAATTATGGTAGCCGCACAATAAACAGGAAGCAAGCAAGAGTTTAATATACTGTCTTGGGACATCCTCTAATAGCTTAAGCTTTTGGGACAATTGATTACCTAACATGATATCAAAGTTTCACCCAAAAAAACATGATACCAAAGTTTTGGTTCCATGAGACATCACTTTAAACCTTGCTTGTGTAATTGCCACTACATTTGTTTGTGCACTTCGTTTCCTGTCTATTTGTGCTCCTGGTTCAATTGAATTTATGTTTTAGTCACATGCAAGAAAGGATCACACATGGGGATGAGGGAAGGTGTGAGAGTTTGATATACACAGTCAGGTCATTACCTAACATCCTGAGTTTTTGAGTTATACTGCCATCAATAAATATTAAACTCAGATGCATTTATGCATTATCACAATTAGAATGATAAAATGTGGTTATAAATTGGGTGTTTAACATGAAAGTTCATGAAAAGTCAGATCAGACCAACTGACCTATCCAAATTGGTCAAAATTCGACCATAAAGTTGAAATATTTAGCAAAAATTAGAAAATTTGGAATTCAGATTTCTGGGAAATATGGACTTTTAGTATTTTACATTAAATTGACGAATTTCTAGAAACTCGATTGACATTCAACAAATTTTGGTCAAAATATTAAACATTCAAACTTTTCAAATTTGGCCATAAATTTGGAAACTCGGAAAAATTTGGACTCAAGATATGTTCACCAAATTCGATGTATGTAAATCTGCGTTCTTATATAACCATTATGTAAAATAATCAGGAAAAAGGAAAAAGCTTTAGGTTTACAAAATCTCCTTCTAATGGGGAGTGGATGGAAAGTGGAAGCTAAATTTACGATAACATAAGGCATATGGCAACCTAAATAAATAACCCTATGTTGTTCCCACAAAACCAGCTGCTCAGAAGGGTAGACTGGTATTTTTTGCACAAAGTGGCTACCCTCATATTCAAACATGTGTTCTCACTCACGCCTGGCAACCCCGGATCTTACAACTACCACAAGCAATGGCCACAGGGACCCTATCATTCAAAAACTGCAGCCCCTTTTTTTGATAAGCATAGCATCTAAAAATCAGTTAGAACAAGGAATTTATGAAGAAGCTGAGGACAAGTTCTACAAGTTACTCCACATCCAAATCTTTGATGTATTGTAAAAACGTGTAGCTTATGCATTGAATTCAACTAATATCAACAATAAGAATATATAGAGTTCTTTTATTAACAAAGTCCACTTAAAGTAAATTTATAATTTCTATTATAAAAATTTAAGTATTCTATACTAAATTATCCAAACCCAGAACTAAGCTTTTGACAACATCATTAACCCATCCTTTTTGTTAAATTACCACCAATCCTCCTCAAGGTTAAGATATCAGCTTTTCATGCCTCATGTATGTCAAAAAACTGGTGACTTCAGTTCAGTTACTTGGGGGAAAGAGGATTTTGTGTTGACAAATGACGCAAGTCATACACGTGTTCCAATAACAAGTGAGCAGCATCCAGAGAAAGAGAAGGTGCCAAAGAGGCCTAACAACATTTACTTAAGGGAAGAGCAAAAATTTGGATATCAAGAAACCAAGACATAAATAGAGCACAGCACAGTAAAAGCAATAGAATAAAGGTACAAAACTCTAAAACTTAAAATACCAGATTTCACACTCACTAAACTACAATAAGAATAGAAATCAATCATTTAACTACATAAACAGAATGCATCATAGAAACATTTAACTAAGGCAAAAGCAAAATTTTGGATATCAAGAAACCACGATGTAAATACAGCACAGTGAAACCAATCAAATCAAAGTTCAAGACTCCAGAAATCAAAGCACTAGGTTTCACACTGGCTAAACTACAATAAGAATAGAAATCAATCATTTAACTACATAAGCAGAACACACTGTTGAATGATCAATTTGATTAGTAAGGCAAAATTTTACTGTCATGACTCAAGCTTTAATACAAAACAGTCAATGGAAATGGAGCTTTGATACATAACACTCATCATAAGGGCATCCATCCATCCTTGCGAGAGCAGTCTCTTTACTTTCTCCAAAGTGCCTAGAATTATGTTACAGGGACACCTCAAAATGCATAATCAAACTCTGTTGAACACAACATGACACCGATACTATCTTAATATGTTCATTTTCCTAACATATTGAGACTTTGAGATGAATGAGGTACTCATATTAAGTGCCTGTAAGCTAAGAACACAAGTTTTACCCTAGGGTATAGGAGAACAAAAGTTGGAAACTCTTGGATTTGTAGAGGAAAAAGAAAAAGGGAAGGGAAAAGTGAATGAAATAGAAGCAAAATTTTTCCACAAATTTCTTCCCTTTCCTTTTCCCTTCACAAATCCAAGATCCAAACACAACATTAGTGTTATGTATCCTTGTGTCCAAAGGTTTATAAATTCGATGGATCCTTCACCAAGAGACCCCATTTCTGTCGAGTTCCATTAAACATAAACCTATATCAACTAGAAAGATAGGAACCATGTAAGATGCACAAAGTGTGTCATGTAACAATGGATGTATTGATTTGTAAATGAAACTGAATAAAAATCCAAGTTATTCAGAATCATGCATCTAGAAGACAAGATTAAGAAAGGAAACATACCTAATATTCGAGTTACTCCTTGAGTTACATCTCTGTGTCCCTCTTGTGAAATTGTAGCCAAATCAACCTTTTGGATTTCCATATTCCCAATCCCAACAAAGCAGTGGAGAAGGCAAGAAGCAAGATACCTCTGGCCAGATCTGGGGCTTCCAGAAATCAGCATGCGGAATCCTAACTTATTTGCTGATGCATAATATATATTCTGCAACAAACTAGGTCGAGTACCTATTTGCTGATCTTTTGGATATTTGTACTTCAAACTGTCATCATTAGTACCCTCACCCCAATCATCAAAATTGGAATCACTAGCCTGTCCAATTAAAATGCCACCACGTGAAAGGTTAATCTCAATCTCTCTCAAAACATCTGTTTCTTGAAGCAAGTCATGAACACGGAACCACCAATGATCACTCGGCACTTTCTCCTTATCCAAAGCAGAAACAATTACACTTTTGACGAGTGTGGCAGCTTTATAAAGATGAGGAGGCAACAAGAGACGTTCATCAAGATAAAGGGAAACAAGCAATCTAGACAGCGGTTGCCGCAGACAAGGAATAAGATGGCTGCGAAGAGGTGAGGATACCACATCATTTGCAGCCAGAGAGGATGGAGGTGGTGCACATGCAAGAGACTCCAACCAATCCCTCTCCTCCACCGCAAAGGTGGGAAGAGGACGTTTACCATGAGAAGCTTTCTTTTCAGCTACAGACAATATTTCTTGCAAGGGGCAGTTCCTCCTCAGGGCTATAATGGCTGCTTGGGTACAAAGAGCCTGCAGATCAGCACCAGCAAAACCTACAGTTCTTCTAGGAATCCAATTGAGCACTGATCCAGTGACTGGCTTTGGCCAACTTTGTGTGTGAAGCGAGAGAATAGCTGCTCTGTCCTCAACTGATGGAAGTGGGAAATAAATCTCCCTAACAAACCTACCAGGTCGTCTTAAAGCTGGATCAACAGCATCAGGACGATTTGTTGCGCCTATTACTACAACTGAGCCTCTAGATTTTAAACCATCTAATAGAGCAAGCAAGGTGGAAACAACTGAATTATGTGTCTGATCTTGCTGCCTAGTGCGGCAAGGTGCCAACCCATCAATCTCATCAAAAAAAATTATAGATGGTTGAATTTCTCAGTGCTCTTAAAACAACTCATTTCTGGATCTAACACAGAAAATTACCACCTCACAAATTTTATAATTTTTTTTTTTTGAACGGCAAAGTAAGGGACTTCATTGATGAAAATGTAGTACAAGATACGAAACACATTACACCAATAAAGAGAAAAAGAGGAGGGGTGCAGGAGCACCCCTAAGTTGGTGAGAAACCAACGGAAGGAACAGATCAATACACCAGCAAAACTAAACCAGCAAAAAAGATCAATACACCAGCAAAACTAAATCAAATCACCAGCAGCTTTCATACTCAGATCGATACACCAGCAACAGTTAGAACAGATCAGAACTGACCATAGCAGCCATAAGAACAGATCACTTGCAGCCAACAGAACAGAACAGAAACTTGCATACTCAGCCTAAGGACAGAACAGACCAGCAGCCATAAGAACAGATTAGAACAGACCACAGCAGCCATAAGAACAGAACACTTGCAGCCAACAGAACAGAACAGATCAGTCAGCCTAAGGACTGAACACCAGCATCTTGCATACTCAATCAAACAACCCAGCAGGTGACATAAAACCAGCAGCAACCTATGAATTAGAACAGGTCTACAGTAGCCGAAAGATCAGATCACCAGCAACCATCAGAACAGAGCAAACTGAGTCAGAATTTTGCAAAGAGTCCAGGACCACACAGCAGCCATAAGATCATAAGATCAGAACAACACAGCAAACTGACTGCAGGTACCTGTTGAGGAGGTAGGATGTGGTGACTTTTCATCATATCTACAGAGAAGCCAATAGCTGCGCAGATATTCTAGCAAATCAAGAGTGTTTTTTGCTTAAAGTATTGGTGTGGTGACTTTTCATCATATCTACAGAGAAGCCAATAGCTGTGCGGATATTCTAACAAATCAAAGAGTGTTTTTTGCTGAAAGTTTTCGTGTATTCCCCCCCACTTTTTTATTTCCATCCAACTAGCAGATGATGCTCGAGGAGTCCTAGTCCTAGAATGTTCTATATATTGCACCCCCTTGTATTTCCATCCAACTAGCAGATGATGCTAGAGGAGTACTAGAATGTTGTAGTAAACCAAATAGTTGATCAACATTTAAAGCTAACAATATATTTGGCTTGAAAAAAGTCTCCACTAAACAAGGAACAATTGACAGGAGGAGAAGATGGAAATCATGACATTTGAATGTCCGATCTGAAGTCCAGGTGACAGCAGTTTCCACTCTCTATACATAGCACATCAGACCAGTAGAGGAAGTAAATGTCCAGACTGGCTTGTTGCCTCTGTATTACCTAGACCTTTGACACTCCACTTCAACTTAGACCTTGTTCGAGATAATTTAGAAGACCTTAAAGGCATAACTACACCCCTGCACCATTCCAGGATACGTGTGTACGAAATCGTTGATTATTTGAATACTGGAATATAGAATCATTTGTAGAAGGCCATCCACCTTATAGTTAAGGGGGTCAAGGCAAGTAACTTGGTACTTGAAGCAAGCTTTTAAACTTGTTAATGAAATATAGTATTTGTATACTTCTAACAAAAAAAGAAAGGAAAGAAAATACCAAGAACCAAAGATTAAGATTTGTTCCGATTACTATATTTCCCATATCTTCGAGAGACCCCCCGCATCAAATAGTGTATCCCACACCTGCATATATGAGCCAAAAAAAAGTTACTTCCATTCCGTTGCACACAACTTTCAGAGGGGAAAATAGAGAGAGAATTGCAAAAGCATGAAGCATAAAAAGTTATATCCACTCATTTCCAATTTTCCCTTGGAGCCTCCTATAGCTAGCAAGAAGGGGCTATCCTCTGAGAATGAAATGGAAAAGACAGCTCCCTAATAACATTAATAACAGGATGACACAATTCACCTCGGATTAATAAATATGTAGAATATTACTATATTGCCACAATAACAGCCATTAGCACAATATCACCACTTCGGAGGAACATTGCCACTGACGGATCCTGCCTAGACTTCCCTCCAAGAAGGAAAACAGCTTTACAGCCCAAACTGAAAGAAAATAGAAATTTCAGGGCCCAATATAATGTCTTTAGCTCATTCTATTGGAAGTGTGTGCATTTGTGTCAATGTGAGCGTCTAATGAATAGCATGATACCTGATGCTAACAATAGGTTTAGTCCAATCCGCTTCCATGTCATCAAGGTGGCCCCCAAGTGTATCACCTGGCATGAGCAGTGCACAAACATTTTTTACTAAATAATTAGGCTTGTTGAGTTTATGAGCTCTTTCCTTCTAACGTCTCAATAACTAAATTCTCAGGAAAAAAAATTAACTACACAAATACACAAATTCTCATAATCTACTTTAAAACCAAACACAACATTCAAAAGATAGCTATGACTGAAGAGTACCTAACCCGAAGTAATTCACTATTGCAGCTTCTGGGCAAAATTGTTCCCCACCTGTGCTGCCATCTTTTTAGCCAATTGGCAAAGAGCATCGGGGGTCTTGTTGTGTGGAAGAGATACATTGTAATTCCGCTGTACAAACATGTAAGAAAGTTACTTCAGATATTACTGACGAGTGTATCTCACAGAACTACAATGAAACAATGTTCAAAATAAATTGATGACCAGTGTTCATGCTAATTAAACAAAGATGTGCAATATGACATGTACTAGAATTGTAATTCAAGCCAATTGATGAAAAAACTTACACGGGACACAGGTCAAAACAGATAATTGGTGCAAATATCTTATGAAAGTTCAATAGACATCAAACGATATAGAAATTCACAGTGGTGACCTCATAGCTTGAAGCAATACCAATCATGGTCCAAATGGGTTGCTAGTATTGAAAGAAATAAAGGCCATAGTACTCAATTTGAGATAAAAACTGAAAAAGAACAATATGAAATTAGCAATCACCTTGGACCAGTCAAATTGCAGTCCAAGAGTACTCCACCGTAACTTCCGTAGCAAACCAGATGCTGGTATCGATTTCAACATATTTCCTCTTGATGATACACCAGGTTCCTCACAAAATTTCCATCTAGGACCATCAACATGACTGACAAAAGAATAAAACTCAGAACCCTCATCTGTGTAGGAACTATCCTCCTCAACTAAAATTTTTCTATCTTTAGCTGCAATAAATAAGTCACTTATAGGCCCGTAAATTGCATTATAACAGAAATAACTTTTCTTTCAGTCACTCTTCAATTACAAATATTCTTCCCCATCCTAAGCTCCTTACAAATCCATCGTCATTCACATTCTTCACCACTATGCACAACTGTCAAGCCCCAAAAATACCCTCATCTCCAGCACTAGCACTGACCGCGGTCCCTACTTAGTCAATCACTGGCTCAGGACCCACCACCAGAGACTTCAGATGTTCTTTTTTATTTTATGTTATTCGCATTGGTATTTATAAAGCATGGAGTTTGATTCGAACCCTCGTTTTATGGACCCAATTATGAATAAACAAATAATTGATAGACTGAAGAGGGATTTTGCGTAAAGAATTGATTTCGAACAAGAAATTAATATTTTAATTATATATATTGAATTGACTAACCAAAGCCACGCACTATGATTTGAGGCCATCCCTTCAAACATTCACTCATTAGGGTTTTGAAAATTAGGGAAAACAAAAAAAATTGGTTGTGAAAATTAGGGAAAACAAAGGAAAATAGAGAAATTGAGCGACAGAGAAAGAGAGGACCCGTACTTGATCTCAGGGTTGTTTGAAGATAGGCGAACTGGTAGTAGCAGAAAAATGGTGACGGTGGTGCTGTTAGGTGCGAAAATAGAGAGCAACCATGTGAGTAATACAAAGATTGAGAGAGAGAGAGAGAGAGAGAGAGAGAGAGAGAGAGAAACAGAGATAACATGCATACCTAACAATGGAGGCCCAAGTACTTCTTGAAGCGCCACTGATGCTTGGTCGAAGAAGCCACACATGCGACTGCGATGATGAAGGAGGAGCGACTTTGGTGACTGCAATGGAGCAGGAGAATCAACGATGAGGTGCGTGTGAGGAGTGGTGAGCGGGAGTGGTTCGCGGTATATACTGTATAAAAGAGTTTGAAAATTTCACCTGGCTGTTATAGGGCATTTTTTCCCTACCAAACCGTTTGGTCGGCACTGTGCTTCACTTAATTTAAATTACATTCAAAACAGTATCGTTTTGTTATGCGCGACCAAATTACTTTGGTCGGTAATTTTTTTTTTTATTTTTTATTTTCCTTCTTTTTTTTGCTCTTCCATATTCAACTTTTGCCAAGCAAATTTCAATTTTGGTCCCAGGAAATTTTATTTTGGCAACGTTATATAGTACTCTAATAGATTTTATAATAATTTGTGCTATAAATGATTTGTTTTTATTTTCTAAAATTAGGAATCAACTGAATCATAATTTTTTGTGCTAAAATTACAAACTTACATCAACATCCCGCACCGAGCTATTATACATTATTATAGAATTTTGCTTTGTTTTTATTAATAATGTTTTGTAATAATTCTTATGCTTAAATTTAGCCTATAAAATTAAAATTATCTTAATGTTGATCATGTTTAAAATTATCTTAAAATTTAGCCTATAAAATTAAAATTATCTTA